ACCCCAAGTCAGTATTTTTTACTCCATTCAGCTCTATTGAAGTTCATACAAAGAACATACTGCATGATGGCTCTAAAACTATTAAAGGTAACATGGTTGTCTATTTCTCCAGACATATTGTGCAGTCTATTTAAACTACTGTGTAGCCAAATGATTGCACTGGGGGTCTAAATGTCAAATATCCATTGCTTAATCTCTACATTTACTTGCTATGTCACTCTGTGTTTATGTATGTTATGTTTAGAGCTGTTTAGAACGTTTTAGTTTTAGAACTTGTTTAGAAGCAACAGGAATGTTTTTTGCTGAACCTTACAAACGTTAGTTTCCCAGACATGGGAGTGCACAAGATTATCAACAAACTGTTATTCTTATAACAATATTCTTATAAGAATATTCTTATATTTTGTTAATAATAATTCTTATACTTTCTAACATCTTTGCTTGCCCTCTCAGTGTGACCATGGAGAATGTGGCTCGGTTTAAAGGGCAGGAGTATTGTCTTCATCCCAAACTTCAGAGCACCAAGAATCTGGTCAAATGGTTCCGCATCTGGAAGGACAAGCACAGGTAATACATCTTATAATTCCTTGTCAAAATTGAATTTTTTTTTAATTGTAATTTTTTACTCATGTTTTAATCCCATGTGTTTCCGACCAGGGACCTGGTGAATGTCACACACCTCTATCTATTCTCTTATTTCCCGTGTGTCTCTATATTATCTATCTCTCTACCTTAATGACTAATGTTTACAGGGCTGTGTCCAAGATGACAAGATAAAATACGAAACACGAAAAGGCTCATAATTGATTCTAGCCTCCATTATGTATATATCCTATTAGATTTCCAGACCCCTTACTGCTCTGCCAAGCACACCCAACACACAATCTGCCCTGATCCACCAGCCTGTGTTATCACTGAGTTGTAGATAGTGTCGTGTGGCTTCTCGGTGCACCTTAATTGATTTGTTTAGCGGAAATTTCTCCTCTCACCTTCCCTCCAACACGGGGAGGTCAGAGGTCACGGTAAGCCACAGACAGGAGAAAAATCCTGTGGAGGAGGCAGAGATTCATTATTTTGTTGAGTGTGAATTTGATTTCCAAAAGGACTTGGTTACAGGGTGATTAAACCTATGTCCTTCCACTTACATCCACAAGGCCAACATATTAAATACAACAAACCTTCGATCTCCATTCATCCAGAGACTACATGAAAATACCTGGTAGAGGAGGCTATTGATGCTGGCAGATCTCGTGAGCAGCTAAAGCAGAGAATCTTTAAGAGCAAGGTGAACAAACATTTGAAATCACAGAGAAATTAACACTTATTTTTTTGTTTTTCCTCAGGGTGTACGAAGCCTAAAACCTCGGCTAACCAGTACACATGGATCAAGTGAGACAACAAAAAGACAACAATACCACCAGAACTGTTTTTACGAAGTGCAAGATGTAATCTACAATCAAATTGTACTTCCCCCACTTCTGCCTGAGATCTGTCAAGCACATTAAGAGATATCTTTAGTTTGTATGTAAGCTGGTGGGCTCGTTTTAGCTGGCTATCAATCTAGTTGCGGTCACTCACCGCTCCAGTCTTTACAGCTGTAGTTGCACTTGTCAAATAGTGGATGAAACGCCATCATCTGTGGTCAAACGGTTTGTTCAGTTATTACTTAAAGGAATTTCTCTTTTGCTTTGGCTTTTAAGCTTCTTTCAAAACGAAGAATATGTAAGAATGTGTTATTCTGAAGGAACAGGCAAACCTTCCTATGAAAATTACAGTGTGGGTGTTTCAATTGTTAAGATTTTCACTACTCTGTATTCAATATGACAGGTGGGATGTTAGTACACTGCCAATATTTAGGATCCAGTTAACTGTCTTTAAGAGGTTGTAGTCGAAATGCAGCGATAAAGGTTCTCAACGAATCTGATTCCTTGTGTTTAAAGAGGAGAGGCAGTCAGTGTGTTGTTACATACAATACAGAAGTTGCTATTGTTCAGTCAGATAAAGGAGATCTACCACTATGTGTGTGTTTACCATGTCCATGCTAGTCATATGTGTAAAACAAACACACTACTCCACAGCACTACTTTGTAAAATAGTATCTAATTAACCAGCAGACTGTAGTTCCAATAGACATAAAAGTATACATATGTGTGCCATTGCTACATGTAGTACAGTCTGTGGATTGGAGTTCATTAAAAAAAAAGATTATTAAACATACTTAGAAAGAAAAGACCGTCGGCAGTTTACATCAACAAAGGATCTGTTGTATATTTTCACTGGTTAAAAGATTTTTTAATTCCACCTCTTGAATTGTGTGAAGCAAAGGAAAGTAAATGTGTAATGAAGCAATATCTCATACAAACTGCCTACATAACCACTCAATTTAGCCACACATGAAAGCAAACTTTAAGGAAAAGACTGGCGATATTCTAGTTTTTCGTCAATGTTTACCAATGTCCCATGAAAATATCCAAATCAACAATGCGTTACTCCGTCTCTCAGTGCTTTCCAGTCTGTCACCCTGTCTGTGGCACTCAGCCCGAAGCACATTCATTCCTACTGAAGATGTAAATTTTTGAAAACAGGTCAAGAATAAATGCTTTCATTTAATAAGAATGTTAAATAACTAAATAAATAGCTAAATAACAGCTGGGCACTGTAGTTTTTGGCAAACGTCACTCAAGCAGGAGTAAATGGTGCATTTGTTGGGGACTATTATCAGCTGTGGATTAACACACATTTGGTGCTCTGCAGTACGGTGATCCAAATAAACTACAGTGACCATGTTTATGGTAATAAAGAACCATATCACCCAGTGCAACAGTGTGGCTCATTGATGTGTTTTAATGGAGCTCAACAGTGCAGATGAATAAGATAATATTTGTTAGAATAAGAAAACAATGGACAATAAGAAAAATACAGAATATTGTCAAACTTATCTTTTTAAATGGGCTATGGACTGTGTTATGTTGATATGAAAATAAGCATGGGTCGTTTCATGAGATTTCAACTTCAGTATCCTGAATCATTCTTACTGTCCATGTACAAAACATGCACTCATTAATTACATTACAGCTTAAAATATATGGCAGGCATTTCATTTGTACTGCTAATGATCATTTCACTCTCTTGTATGTCCTACATGGGTGTTGATACTCTGCTCTTTCTTATCTCTCCTCCAGTAGATCTCCTGAACAATACTGTCAACAATATTATTACTTTGTATGCTGTGGATACACTTTGTAACATTGACGATTGGGGGTTGTTTTGTTGCCACCAAACAGACTTCACACACAAATATATCTGCATATATACAAAAATATCACATTTTCGTTACCTTTTGAAGAATGTGCATAACTGTTGTTTTATATCTTATATATAAATATATATAAAGAAGCACTTTGTAAATGGACCAGTATAGCCTATATGTTAGTGAGAAGAATCCACCTTAAGACTTTGTAGTGTCATGTATATTGTATTACTGCATTATAGTTGTTTTTGCTATTTAAATCTTGGTTTGGTAACAGATATTTGGGAGGTTGAGTGGACCGGCCCACCAAACACACAGTTAAACATTCCATTGAGTGTAAAACAATAAACACAGCAATAAAGTGTCTATAGAGCAGCTCATGTTTTCATTTGATTCGTTGGAACAACTATTGTAACTGAAACAAAGGAGAAACAATGCTGTTGCAGATAGGGAAGGAGGACAAAGATATGGGTTCTTTCAAATTAAAATGCTTTGAGAGCATCAGCCACTAGGTGGCGGTATATGCCAACTGATTTTTATAAGGCAGGTGCAGGAGACAGTAATGGATGTTAACAGTTAACAATACAGGGGTAGTTTGCCTGTAAATATGTCAGTGATTGGAGTATGGACATATATGCGTTTATCGTGCATACTTATATACACTGAAAGACACTTATTCACACAAACATGTTTAGGTAATATAGGCAAAATTTAAAATATCAAGAAACCCAGTAATGATAATTATAAATATCACAATTTATATTTAGAGTACATAAAGTACATTAGAGTACAGTTATAGACTGGTACTAACATGACAGTTGTTTCACAAATAATATTAAAGATTGTATATGAACAGGGGAAAATAAAAGTTCATGCCAGTGTTACCATTTTCAGTTGAACTAAAACAAAGCCTGACAAAATGTGTTTGAGATTAACATAAAGTAAATTTTATATATTTAATGTGTCTCTCACAAAATGTTCCTGGTTTCAAAGCCTCTGATGCTTCTGTGCTACATGCAGACTTTATCAATTTCATCAGGTATAACAATATACTAATGTATTGCACACTTGTGAAGACACGCTTCTGACGCTGTCTCTGGTTCAGGGATGGCTTGACACTAGGAATGTGACACTTGTTGCTCCAAAAGAACTTAAATATTCTTATTTTCTGGGGTGCACCTGTATAACATAAGATTGCAGTCTAAACTGCAACAAAATTGTAATGTTTTTGGGTGCGATGGGGCTGTGGAGTACTTAAATAATTGAGAGATAAATATAGCACAGTACAATATTTTCCAATGAAATGTAGTATACGCCTGAGTCAGAGTCAAGTGTATGTTTTCACATACAAGGAATATGCCTTGGTATTTTGGTGCAAGAATCATAACATGAAAAATAAAGTAAAATATGTCTATTTTTTTAAATAATAAAAAAATAAACATAAAAAGGAAATGTGTAATAAGTTTGACCTTTGGTAATTCACTTAAAATCAGATGTCTTTTGCTGGCATGTATAAGAAAGGGGCAGTAATGTCAAACAGTGGCTTACATTTAAATAGGCCTCTTATCAATACATTATCAATTAAGACAATTAGACAATTAAGTACAATGCGTGGGTAGGGTACACGGTGAACGTCTTGGATGTCTTAAGTTTTTTGTCTGCTGTCTTCAAGGCGGGGTCAGTTTTTGGCAGCTGTCTCCTGCTGCGTTGAGAGTGAGAGAGGCGGGGTCAGTATTTGGCAGGTTCGTCCCCTGAGCTTGTGTGTGAGAGAGACTCGCTAAGCAACGACCTGCAAACGGGCATCCGAGCAAAAAAACAGGAACCACATCATTATCGAGTGTCTCTGCAATGTTCCCGACGATATTTCTACGCCGTCTTCTTTGATCTCATCGAAGTTGCCGTCTCCACAGAAGTCGGCTAAAGAAACTAAACAAGAAATTAATGCATCTGGCTCCGCGGTCCTGTTTGATTTGACCTGGTAAGGTACCCCGTAGCTGCTGATTAGCTTGCTGTGCTAGCAGCGCTTCTTCTGGTTCACACAGCATCTTAGTAGCTAATGCTAGCGAGCTAAGCTATCTGTGTCTGACGCTTTGTGTTATCTGATTGTTTATTTTAATTATGGCGTACGGGTAGTTTAGAATTATGTATCGCAGTTGTACTTCTATTTAGATGCTATCATTGACGTGTAAAGTGGGTGTTATAAACCGTTTATGGCTTAATTTGTGTTCATTGGTAGCTAACGGCTAGCAACGGAGAGGCAGTTCCATCACATCTGTGGCACCTCCGTAGGCACAGCGAGCTAACTCGGAGACAGAAAAAGAAAAGCTGTCATAAATAATTAAATATTTGAAGGGTTTTGGATGCCACAAGCAAAACTGAACTATGTGTCTTGTTTTCAATGTTGCAGACATTTAATACTGTAACGTAAGCTGTGTATATTCAGTAGTTTCGTGTAAAGAATGTGAGATGCAATGGACAATTCAAAATCACCTGGTTTTGACGCTTATTGTAACGTGTTACTCAACCTGTTCACAGAAACGTATATCCTGTATTTCGGCGTTTGAAGTTCTTGTTCTTTTGAGCCGTACTGTAGTAACTGTAGTTTCGTTTTCTTTTCTGCCCTGACTGTTTCTGGAAAGCTTCATCGTTTACACAGATGCTCCAGCACAGAATCTGTCTGTGCTGGAATGTTCTGGTGTTTTGTGGCACGGCGCTTTGACATTAGTCGATTTTGCTTGTGCTGATCATGGTGGATAGATTGTTAAGTGTAATTATTGATTCAGCAACGTCGGATTTAAGGATGTGACCGGCTGACTTTCATTTCTGGGCTCTCTGAAATCCATTGCACATTACATAATCGTATCTGGCCATTGTCCAGATTTAGGGCGGATTTGACTCTTCTTATGGTGTGCTTGTGTCCCAGAGTATACTGTAGCGTACATACTTACATTATTGTGCATACATGCAAAACTTTTATTTCAGGTAATGTATAATAACATTATATGAGAAGTTGGTTTTGCAGTAGTTTAGAGCTGAAACATTAATTGGTAAATTAATCTGCAACTCTTTTGATTGTCGGTTAATACCAAACAGTCTCAGGTTCAAGCTTTTTATTTTTTTGCTGTTTGTCTTGTGTGAGAATTGGACTTTAGGAAATGATTGCAGGCATAATTTTTTTTTTGTATTTCTTTGACATTTCATAAACTAAACAATTAATCCCTTTATCAGGACAGTATCTGGCATATTAATTGATAATGAAAATAATTGTGTGTTCACGTTGTCACATGTTATTACATACTAGATAAGGGAAGAAAGCACCAGGGTCCAGATTAAATCCCAAAACTGCACACTCTACCATGTTTGCTGTCAAAAATCTTTTGTTCCCTCTGTCTTGACAAGTCTGCTCTGCGCTGGAGGGCTCAGGTTTCTTTGCTGGTGGCATTTGCTAGACAGCAATTGGCTTTTGAATTTGTTACTAGCTGAAAACTATCTTACTTGAGGTATTTTTGAATCTCAGATTTTAGGGAAGTGCACAGACATCCCCCCCGAAATGTAGACACACCTCTCTGGTGACAAACTTTGCACAGATACAAGTCAGTAAAGTTAAGGTCATAAACACAACCACTTAAAATTACATTGGGCCCCAAAACCTAGTGTGAGATCACCGTTATAGATTTAAGATATTATGTTGAAGCCACTCATTGTTTTATTATAAATGTTTAGTTAACTCAACGGCAACACTAATAAAATGCAAGGTCAGTGAGACACCGTGGCATTGTCATTGCACCTCAGCTGGACCTGTAGCCTATTATGTGAAGGATCTCAAGTATGCACATACCAACAGTGCCAAAACTCTCCAACGTCCTGCTGTGTGAGATAAGACAGTGTACGTGAGACGACCCATAGTTTTTATGTGGACCCAAATGCGCAGACACAGCAGTGTCATAACCACACAGCTGCCTGCAGTGTGGGCCTGTTGTTGCCAGGTCAGTGACTGGTTGTTTTAGACTCTGGGTAGGGTCCAAGCTAAACCGAATGTGGTCCAAATCTCTCTAAAGCTGGACCCACACTGCCAGAAATTCACCAGATTTAATCTGTCTGCTTGTGATCACACTTGTATGGAAATATGTTTCATAACTTCAGTTTTTATTGGTTAAAATATCATGTGCTTTTTATAATTAAGCATTTAACTATTGCTCTTCTGCAGAAGAATAAGCTGATATTCATTCATTACCATCGTTTCAAGGAGTAATCAAAGCAGTGCAGTTTGATCGAAACACAGTGATGCAGGCTACAAAGGAAAAGAGATATGTTAACATCTAATAAGGAGACTTAAAGCTTTATCTTGTGGTTCACATGAAGCCAAAATGGGCTGAAGACAGTTTCCCGCAGTCTGGCACTGATCTGGCCCAAAGATTGTAGAAGGTAGTCCATTAGGGAGCTGAAATAACAAAGACTTGAACACAATCTTTTATTCATGTGCTGTTGTCTTTCCCTATCCAAGACTGTAACTGTACTAAAAAAATACTCTAATCCATTGTTCAAATGCACATTCATTTAAACAATTGTAAAAGACTAAAATATGTGACATTGATGTAATATTGCTATGCCTTAGAAATGTAGAAAATAATTCTTGTGACTTTCACCAACTGTTTATCCCATCAGTCACATCTTTGCATTGTGTTTTATTTAAGCAGAAAAAGAGAATGTGATAAGTGGATGCACTAGTGTATGGCCATTTATCTAAAACCAAAACTTGCTCAGGTGAAAGTAAATTTTCACTAATTACTGTGTTGACACTGGATTTCTCATACCTAATTTAGTCTATCCAGGAATTTGTCATGAGAGTAGGGCTGAAGCGATCTGTCAATGACTTAATCACAGAAAATCTGCAGCTATTTTTATCATTGATGATTTGCTTAAATGATGTTGTTGGCAATAATTCATTGGTTCTAGCTTTTCAAATATATTTGCAGGCTTTCTTTTATGATTCTGAACTGAGTATTTTGGAATTTTGTGTTATTGTACTAAACAAGTCAGTTTGAAGATGTCAACTTGGGCTTTGGGAAATAGTTGGGAATAGTTAATATTTTTGACCCAGGGCAGGGTCAGACAATATGATGATATATACGGAGAGATTTTTAGAGATTGGGTTGGTGTTGGTGTACTCTCGTTTTTGCGACTAGGTAATGGCAGAGGATTTGCAAGGATTTGAGACAAGCGCTTAAAGGGAATTTTTCAACCTGGACCCATTTCTTTTATAGTTGGTCCAGTATTGAGCGAGCACATTGCAGTCGGCAGCATATGGGCTCAATGTAATGTGATCTTTTGGGGCAATTGCTCCCTGTCAAAGTACTTCTACTAAAGTGCTTGTTCATGTTAGTGCCACTAACATGATAAGATTGCATTTACATTTACTCATTTTATCCAAAGCGACTTTGGCTAAAATACACATTGCTATGTCAGAGGTCACACGACTCTGGAGCAGCTAGGGGTTAAGTGTCTTGCTCGTGGGTGGTGGATGTGTCTCTCACACCAAAGGCACGCATCTCATCCACTACGCCATCACCTTATTACAAGTGTCTGGCAACTTTATGGAAAGGATCCCCACAGAGACAGACCTTTTAGAGTAAGATCCTTTTTGTTTAACAAGACTCCCGTGACAAAAATAGTTATTTTACCTCTCTGGTCAACCGCTGCCTTGATCACTTAGTTTGTGTTATTATCATTGTAATAACACAAATAAACAAAAACAACAAAGTCACACAATAACTGCAACAAACGAACAGGCAGAGGTAGATGAGCAATTCCTATGTTCTGCGAGGGAAAATTGTTGTTTTTAGCAATGGAGTCTGATGACTGTTTCTGGTTAAACAAAAGGATCTTACTCTTTAAAAAAGGTCTGTCTCTGTAGGAATCCTTTCCACAATGTTGTTTTTGTAATAACAATCTGAGTCTGTCAGTGGCAAAAATAAGGACTTTATTCAATTGCTCAATTGTCCACAAGGGTTGTGTTGCAGCTGGGGCTGCTCGTTTATGGCAATCTGGAACACGGTAAATATTTTACAAGCTCGGACCAGGTAAAGCAGCTCTTTACACACCGGGTTTAGTATAAGCATAAATAATATGTAATTTGTAAAGCTATGTGTAGAAGAAAAGTCTTCTAGTCATTATCCCAATCAAATTTTGATTAATTGCACAGCCCTGTTTGCAGCTATGTCTTGCTGTCTTGTGCTCACTCAATACAGAACCAGTTTCAAAACATGTTGACCTAAATTGTATCAGATAAAAAATATGGTCCAGGTTGATAAATACTGAAGTTACCCTTTATTTTTACTGTAGATATCCATACGTTACTGTATTATTTGAAATGTATTTGCACTACACCATACCAAAACAAACACTTGAGAATCAGAAGGCCACAGCTTCAGGATCCAAGAAGGCAGATGGAGAAATCCTGTGCCGGGCGGCAGTAGGTTTAAGGGCAATGCTCTAACTGTACAGCATCTGCTAAATGTGTGAAACCACAAGAGTGATTGCACAGTGATGAAACTCACATGACTGGAAATACAGGGCAACAAACTGTCATAGTTTATATCGATAACCTTTGGCACCATTTTCTACACTGGTTGGTCGCCATTTGCTTTGGGTTAAGTCTGTGGTTTCCTGTTTTAAATTTTTTTTTTTTTGTAATCCGAAAGCCACAAATTAAATATAGCTGTATCTCACATTATACATATTTAATGACAAATGCCCATTTACTCACAAACTGACATACACTCATTTATAAAAAAAATCTTTTAAAATATTAAAAGTAAACATTTAGGAGAGCCTTTAAAATAAATAATACTTTAATAACCTGTCATGTCATGTATGCTGTGTGAGACATCCTTTGAAGCACACAGTCAGTTTGCTTGGTCACTGTTTGTTTGCTCTTCTGTCTGCTCATTTGTCAGTGCACTCTCACAGCTGGTGTTT